TTGTAAAGATTACATATCAATAAACCATAAAGTTGTCCAGGTGGCATCTTGTAGAGATTTTCATCTTCAGAAAATAAAGTTTTCGGGTGATCTTTACTCTCAAGTGGTTTTGGTGTCTGCATAGCTCTTCACCTTGCTCAGACCTCAGGTTTATTTTTCTCAGCCTTCTCAGCCTTCTGCGAGATTTCTTCTTAGCTTTGACGGTGAGAGCCAGGTGGGAAGAGTGGAGACTGCGCTGATTCTTCTCTGGAGCAGAGTCTTCTTCCTGTGAACGCTTGAATCTGCATCTTTCTTGTTCTGCCAAGAGTATAATTCCTGAGGCCAGGCCGGGTGAGCTGTCAGCTGGTTGTGAAACGTGACCACTCATTAGGAAAAATGATGGTGTTGCTTTGTTTCTGGGACCCGGGCAGGGACAGTGTCAGGCTGGATTAAGGACTGTTTGCCTTCTAAGGCTTTTTAGCTAGCATGTGCTGTCCTGCTAAGTTCAAAGATATCTTTTGCCCTAGATGGGGAGAAGTCACTTAGATATGGCATTTGATGTCCTCTTGCGCTTGGGTAAGTCCTTGGTAGCAGCATCGGACAGGTAGAGTCAGGCAGAAACTTGGGCAGTTTGACGCCTGCCTCCAGTCAAGTGAGACATTTCAGACAAAAGGAAAGGAATGTGCATTTTCAGATGTGGCTTATTGTTTATTTAATTTAGGTCTTAGTCACCAATTGCTGCATGCAAATTAGCTACATAGTGAGCAGATGAAAGCAGCACACACAGTCTCCAGTTCCTGGGCCTGGGATGAGCAGTGACTAGGCCAGGGCCTCTGGCTCAACATCCCCAGTGGGCTGCAGTTGGGCACCAGGCTGGGAACAGCCTGGCAAGGACCTGCTGCCTGTTACACATGTGGTCTGGAAACATCCGGTCCTCACCCCCTGACTCCCCACTGGACTATACACCAGGTGGCAGGTGGTTCCCCTCAGAGGGGCAGGCATGGGGGTGAAGGGAGTCCCAAAGCTCTGTGTTCATGCATGCTGGCCCCTCGGGGGCTCTGGGAAAGGGGCTCTGTCTACCCTCAAGGACTGTGCTGCAGGGCACCCCCTCTTGGGGTCACAGGGACCCTGCCCTCACCCCTCCTCTGGAGTCAGCTCCCACCTCCACCGCCCACCGGGTATGAGAGCACCTGCCTCCCCACGCCCCATAGGTTCTGTGCTGTTTTACAGTTTGGGGTCTTAACACACTTCTTTAATCCATTTTCAAGTGAGTTTTGTACAGTCCTTGACTGTGTCTTGGGGCACACATTTCAGGATAGTCGGTGAATACCTTATGAGGTATAGGCCTGGACCCGGACCTTAGCACTGATACTGCATGGCCCATGTGATCCCTGGGCTGGCAACTGCATGACCAGGGGCTGTGGTGTGCAAGGTGGGACTGTGGGACAAAGGAGTGACAACTTCCTGGGGTGGAGATGAACCTGATTATGTGAGATTTTGCACAATTTAAAATTTGTGAGTATTTCTAGAATTTCCGGTTTTGTGTTTCAGGTGATGGTTGACTGGGTTGACTGTGGAAGGGAAGACTGCAGATAAGGGGGACATGCATGTGTGCCGTAGGATGAGGGCCCCATGTCACCCTTCTACAGGTGGACATCCAGCTTTCCAGCACTGTTTACGAAAGGACTGTCCTCCCCTCTCCTGTGATCTGGGCCCAGAATGTCTAAAATGTCCAAAAAGGAACCATGTAGTTTTATTCCTGAGCTCACTTTTCTGTTCCATTGTTTGATGTATTTGAAATTATGCCAGAAAATACCTGTGTATGTTCTTTGATCAAGATTGCTTTGGCCATTAGGCTCTTTGGTGGTGTCTAACAAATTTTAACTTTTTAATTTAATTATTTTTAGAGAGTCCCATTGGGTTTTTGATAGAGATTGCATTGAATCTGTAGATCACTTTGAGTAGTATGGACATTTTAGCAATATTAATTCTTCCAGTCCATAAACATGGGATATCTTTCCACTTATTTGTGATTTCTTCAATTTTTTTTAATCAGTGTTTTTTCTTGAGTATTCAGTAGACAGGACTTTTGCTTTGTTAAATTTATTCTTAAGTATTTTTTGTAGCTATTATGAGTAGGATTATTGTATTGATTTTTTTCAGGTAGTTTGTTGTTTTAGATAAATATGATCAATTTAGAATGTTGATTTTGTGTTCTGTAGCTTAACTGATTTTTAAAAGTAATTCCAGCATTTTTGGTACCATTGTTAAGAGTTTTCTGTATTTGAGATCATACACTGGCAAGCAGAGATAATTCTGCCTCTTTTTTTCCACTTTGGTTGACTTTATTTGTTTCTCTTGCTTAACTGTGCTGACTGGGATTCCCAGTGCTGTGTCAAGTAGAAATGGTAAGGGTGGGCACACTTGTTTCATTCCTGACTTACAGGAAGAGTTTTTAGCTTTATACTGGTGAGCATGCTGTTAGCTGCTGTTGTATTGAAACACATACCTTCAATCCTTAATTTGTTGAGAGGTTTTATTTCAATAATGAATATGTGAATCTTGTCAAATACATCTTTGAGATGATCATATGGTTTTTGTCAAAGAAATGAAGATTCTGTTAATATGGTGGATCACACTTCTGGGTTTCTGGATGCTGAACCATCCTTGCATCACTGGGATAAAGCCCACTTGTTTTCATTGAATGATTCTTTTAGTGTGCTACTGAATTCAGTTTAGTAGATTTTTAAAAGGAGTTTTGCAGCTCTTTTCATCAGCAATACTGGCCTGTGATTTAATCATTTTTTTGTGGTATCCTTTTCTGGCATTGGTATTAGGATACAGTGGCCTCAAAATGAATTTGAAGTGTTTCCTCTTCTGCAGTTTTTGTGGGAAATTGAGAAGGACTGGTATTATTTCTTCTTAAATGTCTGGTGGGCCTGGGCTTTTCTTTGACAGAATGTTTATTACTTGTTCAGTCTCCTTACTTATTTTCTAGTCTGTTTAGGTTTTCTGTTTTCTCATAATTCCATCATGTTAGGTTGAATTTTCGGTTTAATTAGGTTGAACTTTCTAGGGGTTTTGCTGTATAGAGGTTCATAGAACTCTCTTGTGGTCCTCTGTATTTCTGTGGTAAGTCTGATGCCTCCTCTTTCATTTCTGATTTTATCTTTTGTGTCTTCCTTAGTCAGACTTTTGTCAGTTCTGTTTATCTTTTTAAAAACAACTGTTCTTTACTTTGATTATTCTGTTGTTTTCTACTCTCTATTTTATTTGTTTCTACTCTGCTCTTTATCATTTCCTCCCTTTTACAATCTTGGGCTTAATTTCTTCTTTTTTAGTTCCTGAGTATAGTGTTAACATTATTTGAAGTCATTCTTCTTATCTAGGCATTTGCTGCTATAAACTTCTCAGAGTTGCTTTTGATGCATCCCAAAAGTTCTATGTCCATTTTCATTTGTCTCGTTATATTTTAAAATGTTGCTAGTGTTTTTTTTCTTTGATGCATTGATCGCAAGCATGTTGTTTCATTCCATCTATTTTCAAAAGTCTTGTTATTGATTTCTAGTTTCATAGCACTGTAGACAGTAAAGGTATTTAATATGATTCTAGTCTTCTTAAATTTTTAAAAACTTGTTTTGTGGTATGACGTGTGTCTTTCCTGGAGAATCTTTCCCACACGCTAGAGAAGAGCGTGCATTCTGCTGCTGTTGGCTGAAATGTTCTGAGTATGCCTGATTGATCCATTTAGTCTAACATGTAGTTTAAGTCTAATGTTTTCCTATCGATTTTCTGTGTGGATGATCTGTCCATCACTGAAAGTAAGGAACTGAATCACTGCTTATATATTGCAGGCTACTTATTCTTTATATCCATCATTATTTACTTGATACTTTTAGGGGCTGTCGTGTTGGGTACATATGTATCTACAAATGTTATAGCTTTCTAATGAATTGACCCTTTATCACTATGTAAATTACCTTATTTGTTTCATTTTAATTTTTCATGTAAAATATATTGTTTTCTGATATAGCTACCTCATTCTTTTTATTTCCATTTCTTGAAATATCTTTTTCTGCCCCTTTAATTTCAGTTTCTGTGTCCTTAAGTCTAAAGTATATTGTACTTGCAGGCAGTACATGTATGGTTGGGTTCTCAATCCATCGGGCCACTCTGTTTTTTTGATAGGAGAATTTATTGCATTTATATTTAAGGTAATCATTGATAGGAAAGGTCTTATTACTGCCATTTTGTTCATTGTTTTCTGGTTGTTTTACACATATTTTTTCCCATTTTTTTAAATGATTTCTCCAGTGGTACACTTTGGTTTCTTACTTTTTATCTTTTGTGAATCTATCATAGATTTGCTTTTTGGGTGTAATTAGGCTTGCATAAAATATCTTGTAGATATAACAGGCTATTTGAAGCTGATAACAATTTAACTTTAATTGCCTATAAGAAGTCTACACATTTACTCTGCTGTTCTCCCAACATTTTATGTTGTATATCATGGTTTACATCTATTTTATATTACACATCATCAGTGATTATTGTAGGTATTACAGTTGTACCTTGGTTCATGAATGCTCTGTTTACAAACAATTCAGTTCTCAAAAGCATTTGACAAAATTTTGCTTCCATTCACAAACTCCACATTGGGTGACAAACACAACTCTAGCCACCTTCCCCCAAATCGTACAACAAATTAAATTCACAAACCATGATATCACTGTGTTAATTTTTGTGTGTGTGTGTGTCAATTTTTTAAACTGCTCTTTTGTAAACTTTATACTTGCTGATTGGGCCATGCATTTTAATGCTGTGTTTCACATCTTGTTCCTCATAGTGCTCAACATGAAGTACTCAGTGCGTTAGTTTGTGATTGACGTGCCTTTGGGGCAGTGATACTGCTCAGCCCATGATGTCTCTCACCATCACCCACACTTGTTTTTGTGCACCGCTGGTTCTGGGACCCTGCTGTTACTAATGACATTCTCTCCCCCTTCTCTTCCTACCCACAGCATGTGCATTCCGGTACAATGGGCTCTCCTTTGTCTACCTTATCTACCTCCTGCTCATTCCTCTGTTCTCAGAACCAACAAAAGCGACGATGCAAGGTAAGAGCCTCTACTGTTCCTTCCCAGTTGTCCAGTCCAGTGCTCTGTGCCAGGCTCCATGGCTCCATCTTTCTCCAGTGGGAAAGACGCCATCTATACACACGATGGTCCCTGGGGCAAGCAGTCCCGCAGGGGAAGGGGCTGCCCAGGTGGGGCGGCAGGCAACTTACTGTGATGCCCATGCCCAGATTCTCCCTGTGGATGTTCCCTGTTAGGTCCCTGTAGCAAGCTTGGCAGTGTGTCTGAAAGGTTTAACTCCCAGGATTGTCAGGTAACATGGCAGGGCAGGTAGCATGGACGCATGTGTGTGCCTTGGGTTGTCGAGGAGAGCACTCAGAGCAGTGCGTGGTGGTTCTGAGCCATGCAGGAGGAGGTGGGCAGGCAGCCTGTCCAGTTCTGCCATTGCCATGCGCCGATGAGATCTCTTAAGTATGTGTGGCGCTGCAAAGGCAGCGAGCAGTGTAACTGCAGATTTAGTTCTCAGCATGCTCCTGTGAAGCTCCAGGTCCTTTCTCACCCTCATAGACCTCATAGCGCAGAAGAGAAGAGAAGCAGTGTTTTCTCTGCTTTGGTCTGGAAGAATGGTCTGGTTTGTGAATTTATTTAATTGAAGTTCTTCTACAATTATGAAATGGAAGTGACGCTGAACTAATTTAATAAACTGTTTACAAAAATTTTTGTAGTGCTGGGGATTGAACCCAGCATCTTTACATATCCCTAGTCCAGTTTTATTATTATAATTTTTTGTGTTTTTTTCAGCTTTAATTGAGTTTATTGGTACATTTTAGGCATACAGTACAGTTACATTCATTGTTGGGATCTTATACCTCTACATGGCAAGTCTTGATTCTCATTTTTCCCCTTACTCCTGCCCTCCCCTCACCCCCTCCTCCCCTCCCCATCTACAAACACTTTATTTTCACCTTTTCATTCTCTCACATTTTTTTCTTTTCCCTTATTATCCTTCCCCTACCCATCCCACCTTCCCTACACCTTTAGCTCCTTTCCTCCCATTTCTAAATGTCAGTAATCTTATTAGGATCTTATGTATTATTGCAGATTATTCACACCAGGGAAACTTTGGTATTTATACATGTGTGACTTATTTATTTCACTTAGGAGTATATCTTCAATATGTATCCATTTTCCTATGAATTAATCTATTTTCTTGTTCTTTATGGCTGAGTAATATTCCATTTTATAGAAAAACCACATTTTCTTTATCCAGTTTCCAACGGATGGGCAAATGGGCTGTTTCCAAGATTTAGCTATTACAAACTGTGCTGCTATAAACATGGGTGCGTATACTTCTCTGTAATATGATTCTTTTAGTTCTCTTGGAAAGATACCCAGCAGAGGGATGGCTGGATCAAATGGAACCTCCAGTCCAAGCTGTTTGAGGTATCTCCATATTGATTTCCATAGTGGTTGCACCAGTCTGCACCCCCACCAACAGTGGAGAAGGGTTCCTTTCTCCCCACAACACCGCCAACATTTGTTATTGTGTGATTTCTTGATAGCAGCCATTCTTTGTGGGGTGAGGTGGAATCTCAGTGTTGTTTTCATCTGCATCTCTCGAATGATCAGTGATGTGGAACATTTTCTCATATATGTACTTGCTGCTTTTATTTCTTTGTCTAAGAAATGTCTATTCATTTCGGATGCCCATTTTTGAATCAGGTCTTTATATTTGAGGGGGGGCTGATTGTTTTGAGTTCCTTATATATCCTTGATAATAGTCCTTTGTCTGAGGAACAGCTGGTAAAAATTTTTTCCCACATTGTAGATTGTCTCTTAGTTCTGCTGACCATCCTCAGTGGAGGAAAGATAGCCTCTTTAATAAATGGTGTTGGAAAAACTGGATGTCAACCTGACACAGATTAAAATTAGACCCTTATCTTTCACCATGCACTAAATTAAAATCCAAATGAATTAAAGATCTAAATATTAAAACAGAAACATTAAACTTGCTGGAAGGTAAGTTAGGCAGAACTCTGGAAGACATTGGCATAGGAAAAGACTTTATGAACAAATCCTCAGTAGCACGGGAACTAGCACAAAGAATCAACGACTGGGATCTCATCTTACTAAAAAGCTTCTGTACTTACAATTTTTTGTTTTGAGTCAAGTTCTCACTAAGTTGCCCAGGCTGGGCTTGAACCTGGATCCTCCTGCTTCAGCTTCCCAGAGTGCTGGGATGACAGGTGTGAGCCAAGCTAAATTGTGTTTAGACACACCTCCATAAGAGGAAACAAGGAGCATGCGGTGCAGGGGGAGTGTGACAGCGTCTGTCTGCGTGAAAGGAAAAGGAAGTTGGGTCTGACTCACAGAGCAGTGTGGGAAAGGCCTGAGAGCCGACTCCCTGGGAGAAGCAGCTCACACCTGTGTGCACAGAGCAGCAGACATGGGCTTCAGCTCTCCTCTGCTGCTCACTCATTACCCAGTCTGTAAAGTGGCATTGCTGCCTGTGCTGGCAGCAAGGCTGGCTGTGATGCTGGCCTGGTATTGTCTCAAGCCGGCTCCTCCCACAGCTCCTCTGAGTTCCTTTGGTGCTCTTTGCACAAGCTGCAGATCTTGCCAGATACAGTGCCTTCCAGAGTTCAGCATGAGCAGAATGGCTCCTGGACTCAAACAAGGTGAAAGCACAGCCTGTGGTGGAGAAGGAGAGTGGAGGAACCCTCTGGCCCTTCTTCGGGGACAAACAAAGCTGCTTTACTCGGCTCAGGCAATAGGTGTCCTGGCCCCGAGCAGAACCAGCCGAGCCTGGGGGAGAGCGTGGACCAAAGTGAGAAGTGGCTGCCAGTGGCTGCTAGGCGTTGCTCAGAGGATTTGTGGCCTCCAGGAGTCGGGGCAAAGGCAGGGCGGCCGGTGCCCTTGCCCAGCTCCTCCTGTGCCGTGGTTTCTGAAATCAAAGCTGGCACCCTATGGCCTTTTGCACCTGGCCAAGCTGGGGCAGGCTGGTGTCTGACGTGCATGACACGGCCCACTCCTGCTTCATGGCTCCACACTCATTTCCCGAAGAAGGCTTCGGAGCATTCAGACGCGGCAGTGCTTCGAAACACGCTTCTATACCACGAGGGCTGGGTCCCCATTCCTGTGGCTGCCCCAGATTTCACACCCTGAGCCGGCAGCCCTGAGTGTGCGGTGGTGTCAGGGTGCGTGGGTCTGTGCCTACCCGGTGAGTCTGGGTGGCTCCATGGGGCAGACGGGATGGCACCATGGTGGAGAGTGAAGCACAGCCCCTCTGCAGCGAAGGAGCTCAGGTGATGCCGTGCCACGAGATCAGGCACAGACAGCGGGGTGGGTGCAGGTACCTCAGCGCAGCCCACACACGGCCCTCCCGGGAGCCCAGATGCAGCACTATGGTGTTGTACCGCCTTCCTGTGTCTCTGCACCAGGAATCAAGGCAGGTCTTTGGTGTAGCCTGGTGTGTCAGTTTCCACAATCTTAGGGAGATGGCTCTGGAAGGAAATGCCACATTTTTTCTGGGTGCGTGGGACTCCCGTGCACCCCCAAAACCTGTGCTGAGGCACCCTGGTTAGTCCCCCTGGGGACTTGGGGGTCCCGTTGGTGCCCAGCTGTGCAGTGACAGGCCCAAGGTGCCTGTGGAGTGGCTTTTGAGGGAGGCTCGGTCCAAAGCTCCTGACACTAGGCTCTGTGTTCTGACAGCTCTCACGGGTCTGATGAGTCTGTGGGCAAATTGAAGGGAGTGCAGGAGCAGGGTTGTCCCTGTGCTGATTGTGAATCTACGTGGATCTGCACCCACGCTGGGCGCCGGTGTGGCCCTGGCTGGGCCTGGACCCTGCAGTGTCTTGGAGTCCTGGATGGAAGCCAGAGCGTGCAGCTGCCTGCTCCACCACCCCTGGCCTCCAGCTGCACTGACTGCGTGTTCTGTTTCGAAGCCGGCCCCTCAGAGCCTCGCTCAACATGTGTATTTGGTATGTCTGATCGTCAGGAAGGTAAAGGAAGTTTGCTTACTGCTGTATTTTCTGGACCTCAGCAGGCCCTGGGCCTTGGGCTCTCAGTACACATCGTAAAAGTGATGAATGGAGCCATCAGCAGGGCTGAGGTCCCTGAAGTGTCTGTGAACGCAGCTTCCAGCCCGTGTGTGCCTCGTCCCTGGCACAGCCAAGGCCATAGAGTGGTGCGTGGCAGTCGGCGGACTGGGGACGGGAGACGGAGCTGTCGGGAAGAGGCCTTGGCACTCTGCTCCTTCAGGTTTAATTCGGACCGGAGGACGCAGAGCAGCTGAAGACATGGAGTCCAGAAGGGTGCTTTATGCTGTTGCCTACCATGATGGGCGTTTTATGTAAGCCTGGATGCCCTGGGGAGGGCAGTGAGCACCTTCCTGCTGCTCGTGGACTGTGCTCTGCGCAGGGACTAAGTGCGCGCTCCCTGGTCCGGTGCCTCTGTGTCGGGGCGCTGCGAGTAGGTGTTTCCAGACACAGACTCCCTTGCCTTCGTGACTGTGGAGCACCCGCTCTGGTCAGCGTGGTGAAAGGGTCTCTGTTTTGTTCGGATGGAGTATGAGCAGTGAGCCCGAGGCCCGGAGGAAGGCCACGGTACGTGCTCAGTGCACACTGGCCCACGCTGTTGTTTGCGTTTTCAAGAGCGTGCCATTGCTCAAATGTCAGAGTGAGCTGGATTTAGCCTTCTGCGTGGGCTACTGAGCTGGTCTGTACCGGCTGAGGACTGTGATGCTTTTTAACTACCAGTACACACTCCATGACTGCTGAGGTCGTTTTGCTGTGCTGCCCCTGATGTCTCTGATTAACTGTTAAATAATGTTTAGGTCAGTAACCTGTTAAGGGAACCAGTCAAGCTGTCTCCCGAGTATATATTTATTACTAATGTGCTTTAACTAACTTCATTCTCGCAGTGAGCTTTTGATTAAAGATGATGTCAAGGAGCATCACGTTCTAGGCGTGCACAGGTACCCTGTGTGTGGGCAGCTGCATTGCAGCCCTGGGCTGTTTGCCCACACCCAGGGCACAGCGGAG